TCACAGATTTCACTGCAGCGGGTGGCTACGGTACGCCAAAATAGCAATAATACTTTATTCACTATGTGTGAGCCAGGACACGACGTAGAGAATTGGAACTTTTTGAATTTACATGGACGGTCAGTTGTTATTTACATAATGAAAAGTCACTTATCTTCGCCATAGCTTCCCACAAGTCTTTTTAGGGCAAAGTTGTAATGTCTCAGTAAGTAATAAGACTTGCTTCCCCTTACTGATGGTTTGAATTTTGGACAAAAAGATGCTTGGGTCCATTCATGGAGCATCAATTTGCAGCACTTTCAAAGTCTCCGCGAACTCGCCCGCTAACAAAAATGAGCAGGCGCAGTCATTCTGTCGCTGTATTGACCTAGGATTTTCTCATGTCAGTAATTGTATCTCGCCCAGATCATAGAGTGTTTGGTCACCGCTGTTTGAAAACACGAGGAGCATGCGAACATTTTTAATCTAAAAGTGATGGAATCACGATTGAAGCTTTAAAGCGAATTCACTGCTGTCCCCGGTCATTCGATCTGCTGAGTGTTCCGAGGCGAGCACGCTGCACAGGTAACAGCTGTTTATATTTAAGTCCCAGAAGAACAACAATATGTCTTTTTTTTTTTTTTTCAAAGTAGAAACTGAGAGACTAATGTCAGAAATAATTAATTAATTTAGCTAAGATGACTTGAATGGCGCTCAAAGGCTAATTGTTTGGCGCACACCCAGACGAAGTAACAAGGTATTAATTAGCACGCTTGATTAAAAACATTTTCTGATAAAAGACGCTACTTAGCAACACCCCTTTACGTCTGGGTAAGTTGATTATGCTTAGTGGAAACCAGTGTTTATTGCAGGCATGGCCATAATGAGCAACTTCATATCTTGGCCAGTTTTAGGAAAAAGACGAAGAATTCATGTTAAGTTGCGTGCATGTGTAGAATGTCAATATTGTTCAAACATGTCAACACTGACACCTGGCTTGGGAACTCAGCGATGTTTCTAAGAGTTAACCGTTATTGCTTACAATTGAATACAGAAAGCATTTCATTTTCCGTGTGGTAAAGATGAACAGTTACAATCCCATACCTCGTTACTTCTTTGTTGTGTTCTGCCTTGCCATCTTAATTGGTGTTGTTCAAGGACCTTATAAAGATGGAGACATCATTTTGGGCGGACTTTTAAGGGTTCATTTGAGAGGAGATTCTGAAAACCGGTGCGGTGAGCTTGACGTCAGGGGCTTAAATCGCGTGTTCGCCATGATATTTGCCATTGAACAGATCAACAACGATTCAAAATTACTTCCAAACATAACTCTGGGCTACGATATACGAGATTATTGTGAAATTTCTCTACAGGCTGCCCGAATCTCTTATGATCTTATTAAAGGCAAGCTTTTCCCAAACATGACGCAAGGTAAACTCGGAAGGAAATCGATCACGGCTCTAATTGGTCCAGACGACTCTAGCGCTGCGGTTGTTATCGCTGGTCTTCTTCAAGCCTTGAACGTCTCAGCAATAAGTCCGACTGCAACAAGTTCTGAACTAAGTTCTCATCCCTACATGCACTTGTATCGAACGGCGCCTTCGGATTCCTTTAAAGCAAAAGCCATGGCTGACCTCATAGAGCATTTTAATTGGAGTTATGTAGCCGCCTTTGGACAAGATGACTCATATGGACGGAATGGACTTTGGTCGGTAGACAGAGAAGCTGAAGCTAGAAACAATTCATTCTGCCTTGCTATGACGAAATTTATATCCCGTGAAAGTTCCATTTTGAGCATAAGAAACATTGTCACAACACTCAATCGGCAAAAAAATATCAGAGTTGTAATCTTATGGATACACGGTAGCTATGCAACGCACTTTTTCACTGAGGTCTATAGACAAAACATGACTGGGCGAGTCTGGCTCCTAAGCGATGTATTCATTTCTGACTCAATTCCAGGTTTTTCTTCCATTTTTGATGGATCCATAGTAGTCAAGCCTCATCGTTTTTCCGCCGAAACAGAATTTGAAGAACGTAAAAAAGCTCTAACTATCAAAACAATAAATCAAACCTTCCCGGAATGGTGGAGCGAGATTAAAACGCTGATAACAAATTGCGCGGCAAGTGATGAGAATGCAAATTCAACGGGACAATGTTTCCATGATTTTGTTCAGCGCATGCAGAGTTCTTATACTCCGCACGTCATTGACGCTGTTCATTCCATGGCACATGCTTTGAACATCTTATTTGAAGACACCACGGTGGAAGATGTCGGTTACAAGCTGAAACTCACCATGGATATTAATGTGATGAAAAGCCTCCTTTCTAGAGTTAGTTTTGCTGGACTGACGGGAAATATAAGTTTTGATAAAGATGGCGACAGACGATCTGTCTTGTACGACATTGTCAATTTTCAGCAAGTGGAAGAAGGCCATACTAAGCGCCTAGAACAAGTTGTTGTCGGAAAATGGAAAGAGAATGAGCCCCATGCCAAACGTCTACATATATCCCAAAACATTCACTGGAACTCTCCAACTAACCAGCCTCCAAAGTCTGAATGCTTGGAGCAATGTCCTGCTGGAACTAGAAGATCCACCACTTCACCATGTTGTTGGAACTGTGTCGCATGTCCTCGTGGCACAGTCAACCCAATTCCTGGCATAGAGGCCTGCATTGAATGTCCCAGAGGAAAAAAATCTAATGAGGCCAAGACTCATTGCGTGGATCTACCAGTGGCCAATCTCAAGTATTCCAGCGCAGGAGGAATAGTTATTCTTGTATTTACTGTTGCTGGTATGGTAGCCATACTCTTTTCGCTAGCTGTCACCTGTAAATTTTGGAATACTCCCATTGTCAAGGCGTCTAACAGGAAGTTCAGCATCGTCCTCGTGATAAGCATTCTGTTGCTTTTAACTCTAGTGGTTATCAATCTTTTCGAACCCTCAGATACAACTTGCAAGATCATTTATCCATGGCGCTTCTTAACCTACAATTTGTGCCTCTCATTTCTACTAGTCAAAATTTTGCGTATTTCCAGTGCTTTCCAAATTCCATTAACACGTTCAGCTGTGGCAATCACTCTTACCAATAAAATGCAAGTTGTGATCATAATAGCCATGCATATTCTGTTGTTACTTGTGTTACTACCCTGGCAACTTCTGGATCCACCTATCAAAAAGGAACACATTCTAACGGAGCAGTACTTGTTTATTGAGTGTAAGGCTCACAAAGTAGTGGTTGGCAAAAGCTTTTTCATGGTAGCTTGCTCTTACATATTTATTCAAGTACTTTTCTCGGCATTTTGTTCTTTTAAAATAAGGAAAGTACCAGAAAACTTTAGTGAGGCTAAACGAATAGCATTTTCGATGTACATATTTTCGTTTTCAGTGTTAGCTTATTATCCGGTAGAGTTCTCAAGGAGCGGATGGTATGTGACTGTTGTGGACTGTGTTACAATACTGTTGAGTGCTTATGGCTTTATTTGCTGTTTATTATTACCAAAGATGTATATCATTTGGTTTAGGCCAGAGCTGAACAATTTACACCAGATCCGTAATGAAGTAACTCAATTTGCGTTTGGACTTAGTTCCGCGATGCCCCTTGATCCTGCGGCGAGCTCCTAATCCGGTATTCACCATGCATGGCTAAACGTAAACAAAGTTAATCTCAACTTTAAAATTGTTTTGGATTAGTCTGTTTGGCTCTTTTAATAGTTCCAAATTTGCCCTGTCCACAATTAGAATTCATTATCAAAGAATGAACAACATTTTCTCGTTTGGCTTCACTTTGTTATGGATTGCATTTATTTTTATCAACGATTACTGTCTGGACCTCGGATCAAGTGGTCTCGCGTTCTTTGGCCGTTTTTGTTTTGTTTTGTTTTTGTTTTTTGTTTTTTGTTTTTTTGTTTTTTTGTTTCTTTTTTCATTTTGTCGTTTCTTTGGGCGGGACACTCTACTTTAAAAGTGCCTCTCTTCACTCATGTGATAAATGAGCACCAGGAAATTTAACATTTTAGATCGATAACCACTGCAATCGACTATTATTACATCAAGCGGGAGCAAAAATACTCCTAGTCGCTTCATGCTACGGAAATCACCGGACATTAGAGCCACGAAGCTTCAACACAGACTCTGGTAGAAAAAAGCAAACAAACAAAAACAAAAACAAAAACAAATAAAAAAAAGAAATTAAGGTTATGCTTCCCAATGGTTTTGGGTGAGACTAAAAATAATAATCCCCATGTATGGCCTATTTAGAGATAATGTGATTAAAGGCGTTCCCGAATAAAAATATGCTTGTTGTTTTAGTTTTTGCAATCGATGTGAGTAACGTTCGCATGTTATTCATTCAATTATTCAATTGCGAGATGGAATAGTTCTGCATAATCTTGACAGGAAATATGGACCTTTGGTATTGCTTTGCGTTCAGGTTTTGCACATTCATTAGCAAAATGAAGAAAACAAAGCGCACATTAAAAACGTAACTAATCAGTTGTCTATGATTTGGTTCCAAAAATAATTCTATTTAACAATTAGATTATGAGCTCAAGATTTCTATCACAGAAATGCAGAGCGAATAATCTAATTGTTTTTAGTATAAATCTACTAGTCGTTCAAAACTTTATCTAAATCTTCTTCACAGACACTTCGAAAACGGCAAGAAGCGGCCATCATTTTGTTAGTAACCGCACACTGCTATATGCAACTCACTATCTATTACAGTATTCTGTGATCGGATAGTGAGTAGCGTGGTAAATCCGAGAACAGCATTCGTGATAGAACGCCAGTAGATTTATATTAACAGGAAATGGAAGGAGAAGGAATTTTCGAGTCCGAGGAAACTACACATTGTCAGTGATAAAATTACGGCCATCGATCCCTGGTGGTCGCGGTCATTTAGAGATTACTATGAGGAATTTAAATGGACCGAGTCGTCGCTTGATAGAGATAATATTTTTAGGGAGCTTAAGCAAACCACGACGACGACGGCAACGAAAACGTCAACGAACAAAAGTTTTAATGAGCAAAACAATAGCTGTGCACGTGCGTTATAAATTGTACATTTCTCTGCCGTCCTCTGTAAAGCAAGAACATGAAATGACCAAGTTCTGCATGGACTAAGGAAAGCGAACGACGGCGGCTAATTTTTCGTATTTCCATTTGGAACAGAACGAGGCCATTGAATACTTAGCCTGACACGTTTTTTGAGCCATTGGCATACTGAACCGGATCTAGACAATCGCGAATTTTTGCTGTTAAAATACAAATTCATTTTTGACCGGGCGTCGTGCTCGGCGTCGCCGTCGTCGTTGCTTAAGCTCCCTCTTCTCAGACTTTTTGGGCTGATCGTTCCTATCATATGGAAACAGGCCAGCAAGCGAAGCGGTAACGATCGTTCAACCAGTTTTTCTACAGCGGTCAAAACGATCGCAGTGTTCGGGGCGATCGTATAGAAAACAGCCTTGAGTTTTGTACGCTACAGTATTTGAATATTGCTGAGGTTGGATCAAAGATTAAGCACTATGACAAAGAATGAAATTCGCCACAAAAAGGCTTTTTTTTGCCTTGAAGATCATGATCCTGTATAAAATCCTTTTAAAATCCAGTGCTACGTTTTGGCAAGAAAACAACAACAACAAATTGAGAGAATCCTCTTTTATCTGTACCTGAGATTTGAACACATCTACATCATACTCTTATATATAGCAACGAAGGATAAATTATTTAATAGTCTACCATCAAAACGATTAACCTGCCTGATAAAAGAAAAGAAAAAATTCTGGATAAAAAAAAAGACTTATTATCGGGACCCCTGGACGAAATCGAAGGTGCGTCCGCGTTAATCACGGCAGGTTGATCTCTACGCATGTTCAGAAACCATTGATGAATTTCGATGCGTGTGCATAAGCCAAACGAACATGTCAGGACTTTTGGTTCCGGGTTTTTGATATCGCCCAGGTCGTTTGGTGTTTGGGAACCGCTGGCCGAAGACGCGCTTGTCTTGAGATCAAATTGAATCTGAAAGTTAATACACTCTTTTTTATAAGAATATTGTTGTTCCAGCCGAGTCTGAATGTTCTTGTTTTTCGCCTATTTTTGGCTGAAAATATTTTTGGGAATATTTTCAGATTATAGCGTGTGGTATTTCTGTTTTCGAACCTGTATTCAGGGTGTCCGAATGGTGATAAATGAATTTTAGAATTTTAGATTTTTATACACTGCTTTCAGTACTTTTTACATTGCCGAAACTACTCTGAATACGAATTTCCAATGCATTACTTACGACAGCCCCACAATTTATTACTAAAGTAGATTTGCCTTTCACTTAACAATCTAATACTGCAGCACGTGTTTTTATACTTTCACATTACATTGCACACGTGCGGGTCAATTTTTCGTGCACTGAAAGCTGCGAATTCGGAAACTCTACTTCGGTTCAGTGTCAAAATCTCTTGTGCGCATTTATAAGGATCAAAATTCGAATTACCAAGAGGTATAAGATGATTAAGGGTAAGATACGATGAGAAGCCATGTAATGCACAATGAAATTTCATTTTTTGGGCTGGAAGGTTTTGAAGCGAATTTTCGACTGTCTCCTATTGTTTTCACGACGCGAGTCGTATTCCCTATTTCTAGCTACTGGACTGTTTCTTTCCCAGTAGCTCGGTATCTTATAAATCAAGGAAATTAAGACTTTGAAGGCGGCAGGCTGCGTAATCCATTCGTTTTTTTCCCATAATGCTTGTTAAGCATATGTATTGGTTTAGCATAATAAATTTTCCACGTTGCTTGCCACGGTGCCCGGCTAGCTCAGTCGGTAGAGCATGAGACTCTTAATCTCAGGGTCGTGGGTTCGAGCCCCACGTTGGGCGCTTATTTTTCTTTTCTTCTTTTCTTTTTTCCTTTTCCTTTTTTTCCCCCAACTTTCTATCTAATTTTTTTTCCTTAATGCTTTTAATGTTTTTTGACCTTTTAATATTTATTTCATATCATACGCACAAAAGACTGCCAGATTACATACGGCGATCACATGGACCCGACGCCGGGCGCGTGGTAGAAAATTCTGATCCTTCTGGTTAAATTTATCATGACCTCGACACTGTTGATATTTTGCGAGCAGTAAGGTATAAAACTGTTGAAATCATCTGAATGCATGATGGTGACTACTAAGGTAACTGAGAGCCCGGTGTACATGTATTACTTTGACTCAGTTAAAACTCCGAATAATTTAAGCAGTCGAACATGTAACGAGAAAAAATAAGCGATAGTCTTGTTGTGAGGTTTTCTAGAGGTGATGTACGAAACTTTTACGTCTCCATTCTCGCCAGCGAATCGTCTTTTTGTCCAGTTTGTGTCTCAGGAATGAATAAAGTATTTGAATATGTAAAGTAAAATTTAGACTATTTACTTGAATTGTTGCGAGACATTCTTTGGGTGACAACACTGGAATTGTTCGTCATTTGCACAGGAGAAAACTTAAGGAATTTTCATGCAATTAGCTGATTAGACAGCTTTTCTATTTGTGGACTGTTTTCAAACGAGACGGACAAAATAATTAACATAGCTGATGGTCGTTCCGTACGTAAACAAACAAAAGCTGTGTCACGCAATACGCGTTATTATTCTACCGGTCACGTCAACCATCGTAAAGTCGAGCGCGCGACCAAGTTGATTTTGAAAAAATGATGCGCATTGTGTTTAAGAAATAGCAAGCATGTACCGTGTTTCTATCGAGTTTTAGTGTAAATCTACTAGCGTTCTATCATGAATTCCTTTCTCTGATTGGCTACGCTACTCACCATCTATTCTGCGATAGATAGTGAGTAGCCTAGCAGTGTGCCCCTGTTAACAAAATGACGGCCGCTTCTTGGCGTTTTCGAAGTGTCTGTGAAGAGGATTTAGATTAAGTTTTGAACGACTAGTAGTTTTATACTAAAACAATTAGATTATTGCCCCTCGATTTCTATCGCGCGATAGAAATCGAGAGGGAATAAGCTAGTGTTTAAAAGAAACACGATTTTTAACCAATCAGCGCGCGTATTATCTTAGGACTATTTTCTAAAATAATTTAAAGCCACTTTGTTTTACTTTTCTTGCTTAGATCCATCAAAAGCTTCCTTTCGCAAAAGTAAGTTCCTTTGAACATCACAATCCAAAGAAATTTGCTGCCCAATAATTAATGTGACGCATGAAACTAAATTAACCACTTAGAAAATAATTATAACTCTGGATTCGTTTGAGTTAACTCAAACGCAGATACAACAGCTGAATAATATGATTTAATTTTTCTTCAACTTCACCTTTTTTTTATTATTCCAATCTTGCGCCCATGGAAATAACTTTACACTGAAGTCGGCAAACTGCAGCGCTTTCTTCGCTACTTTCGCCGCATGTCGGCATCGTCCAATGAAAACCAAGAACACGAGGCGGCGGACGACTGTGAAAGAAACACCGACAACAGTCAAACAAGTCCCGAAAATGAGGACGGCGACGAAAAGAGAAAAACCTGCGAAAACCAAGGATCCCGACCGAGCGACTACTTACCTCACCTGCCGCGCGAGGAACCACCGGACCACGCTGGCGAGGTGCTGGCGGCTTACGGCTACGTGTTAGGAGATTCGTTAGGTAAAGGTTCCTACGCAGTTGTTAAAGTGGCATTTTCCAAGAAACTAAAGCGGCAGGTGGCCATAAAGATCGTCCTGAAGAAAAAGGCGCCTGAAGATTACATTACGAAATTTCTACCTCGCGAGATCTCCGTCATGAAACAACTCAGTCATCCGAACATCATTAGACTTCACGAAGCCATTGAAACAAGCTCGCGAATTTACCTTGTTATGGACATGGCGGACGGTGGCGACTTGCTCGATTACATCAAGACGAACGGTCCGGTTAGCGAGCCTGAAGCGCGCAAGTTTTTCCATCAATTGGTCGACGCCTCGGAATACCTTCATAGTTTGGACGTAGTGCACAGAGATTTAAAATGCGAAAATATTTTACTGGATCGCAACAAAAACATCTTGCTTTCGGATTTTGGTTTTGCCAGGACTCAGCCCATGGAGTACGACACAGGGAAAAGGAGGCTGAGTATGACGTTCTGTGGATCGTACGCTTACGCTCCGCCTGAAATTCTTCGTGGTATCGCATACGATGGAACTCGTTCGGATGTGTGGAGTCTGGGAGTTGTGCTGTTCACCACGCTATGCGCAAAATTACCTTACGATGACTCAAACCTCAGATTGCTAATGGAACAGGTAACAGAAACTGCATTGTCTTATAATTGAGTTAATTTGCTTGATTTAGGCTAATCGATTCTCGTTTGAGATTGAAAAAAAGAAAAAATCTTCGTGCCGTTTAGAAGCGGTAGAAAATGTTTTAGCTGTTTCAACTGAGTTCTGCTGCATGATGCAGTATTTTTTCAATATGCATTCCAGTGTTTCAGTATAGCGTTGCCGGCCAAGCGGCCCATAATATCGAAAAACTCGCTACCACATTTTCCGGGCGGGGTCTTCACAAGTATCGTGGCTGTAAGTAAGTCATAGGCTTGATTTAGACCAAGTAGTTATTTTATAACCTGAATGAGCGTTGTAACAAAATTTATACCGTCTTGATCGACCCTGACTGAGACTAACTATTTCAGAAATCTTTTATGAAATGCTATGGTCTTATGCCTACTTTGTGCCTTGTCAGGTCTCGAAGACAGTCGTTTTTCCCAAGAAGCGGAACGTCTCCGAGGAAGCCAAACATCTCATCTTAAAGATGCTTCGTGTCGAGAACGAAAGAATTGACATCTCGGGAATCAAGAATCACCCATGGTACACAGGTAAGAGGATGAACGAATGGCTGAAGGAGGGCAAGAAAAACGAGATCCTTGTAAAGGACAAATCGCACGACTCGGGATTGGGAAATGAGGCTGAAAGCGTTACTCAGGACATGAAGGAATAATGAGCGAGTAAGAAGGTACGGGGGAAGTCACTGGTAATATCTAAGAACATGATCTGCTTCCAAAAGCAACCAGAATCCCGAAGGTACGATTTTGGTCGGACTTCCAAACTGGAAAATGTCTGCCTGATAAAATTACGCAAAGGTGTACGGTTTGATTAAGGGAATACAAGTGGGCAAATGACGGAATGACCCACACGCAAGTCACCATCATGCAAGACCATTAACGAAGGCAGAAACGTGTGAGATTTTGAAAGAAGCGTAAGACAATTTAGAGAAAAGACCGAAAGCTAGCTTTGACAGGCAATAATTCAGGAAAGCTAAATAAACAACGAACAATGTGGTCTCAAGCGTTGTCTCTTCCCATCTTGAGTTATTAAAGAGCAATCGTTTTTAATTTCGGTGATTTTATCATAGACACTCACGGACAATCATTCAGTCAGTCGGTCAGTAGG